TATATTACTGTCACACCATTTCTTTATCTTCTCAAGTTCCTGTGTAACCCGTCGAGAGAGTTGCTGTAGGTTTTCACCCTATGCCCATATGGTAGTGTCATCAGCAAACAAAACCACTTTCACTAAATCAGAAACCTTGCATATATCATTAATGTATAATATAAATAATTTAGGTCCCAAAACAGAACCCTGAGGCACTCCACATACAATGTCCAACTCATTCGATTGGTATTCACCCAACTTCACAAATTGACGCCTCTGTGTCAAATAACTACTAATCCATTTCAGAACCATTCCTCTGATCCCATATTTTTCTAACTTGTCCATTAATAATTCATGATTGATTGTGTCCAATGCTTTTTTTTTAGGTCAATAAATATTCCCAAGATATCCTGACTTTTAGTCACTAGAATAGGAAACAAACACTGGCTCCTAGAATTATTATAGTCCAACTCGAGTGTGTCTGTTATTAGCCCCTTCCAGCACTATAAATTCCCACTTTTTTGAATTTCAAACTCTCAAGCTCAGGCCAAGATATTCCTGATGACAGCCCCATGACACCATCAGGATATTTATATTTTGAACTTTGGAACGCCCCCTGAGCCACAGAAGACATTACACAACTGTTTTGACAAACTGAAGAGCAAGTAAACTGAACTTTATGTTTAAAACTCATGGAGTGCTCCTTTAAATCCAACTCATACAATATTTAAAGATGTGCTTCAGAAAGGAAGTAAAAATTGTGTTTAAAATCTAGCAAAAAGGGCAAGAAATACATCACTGACAGCACAATGTAAATAAGGGTACAGTATTAGGAAGTGGAGCCAATCAGCAGCTTCTATAAAGGATCAGTGAAAGAATCATGCCACTGTACCATACTCCTTCTTGGTTTGCATTTTAAATGAATGGACAATTCTGGCTGAGGTCTAGTGAAGTGCAACAAGAACAAAAAGGACACGTGCAATTTCTGCCTTTGTCGGCCCCTTGTGTTCTCCCACTGACACATGCAAAAGATTCTTGAAGGGTAGAAATTAACTGCTGCGATAAATATGGTTTCATTTTGTTCTGATGGCTTCAAACTATCTTTACAACTAGTAAACTGAGACTAAAGACAGATTCGCCTGACAAAAAGATAAGAAAAATCCCCCCACATGTAGAATGAGAACACATGAGAATGAGTGGCTGTAACAGCTCCAGGCAGCAGGTCCACCACAATGTTTAACAGACAGTGTGATCCTTTGGCATCAACCCTGTCTGCACTGCTCTGGCTGTAGCTGACTGCTATCATCCTCTGGTGGTTAACAAGAGAAATGCAGCCACTACAAAGTGAACAATGGCATTACCCTAACCAGGACTTGAACCATGAGGTAGAGCTCAAACTAGCATATGCATCATCCTCATGAAACAACTAAGAACTTTGTGCTTTGTCAGCTAGTGAGCCATGTGCTGCCCACTGCCAAACATGAAACCTTAATGGACACAATGGAAGTAATTAGGAGCACGTTAATTTTGTATTATTATCTGTTCTTTATGAATAAGTGGTCCTGGAATATGCATGGCAAATATCATATTAATGGATACAGAGTATTTAGTTGTATATTAGAGAAAATAATTACTTGCCTTTTAGTATTCCATTACTCTAACTTGTAGTATTATCAGTCACATACTTAATTTAATATGGGTATTTCTATTTTCTGAATATTAACTCATCTGGAAAACTAGCGTTTTCAGTAAAAGCATTATTATAGAACTTGTGTTTTTTGTCTCTTGTGTGTGTGATCCATTTTTTCACGGACCTATTTGTACTTTACTAGACTGATGGGTTACATTAAACACACTAAACCAGAATTAGCCTGTAAAACTATTGTTTTTCTTTCTAATTTTAGTATACAAGAACTTCAACTAGGTATTTCTGCCTTGATTGCACACCACTGTTTCCTGCCATGTTTGTAATGACTGTTTTATTTTAAACTGCAACAGTGATTAAAATTCACTGACAAACATACAATACAATGTACAATACATTTCCTTCATCATACATACATGGTTTTGTTTTGTGCACCTTGTGAAATTCTGAGGCCATAAGTACAGTAGAGTTACAGCATTTTGTGTCATGTAAGGCTATTCAATTTGTAAATTAATATTGATATTGGTCAAATTTGCTTTGTTTTACATGATATTTACATTCATTTTTCCTACTTTGTTGTTGTTGGGTACTTAGTATCCTCAGCAGCAATGTCCCTGGGTGGGAGTAAATGAAGAGTGCTGCCAGAGTTGGCTACAGAAAGCATTATGTCTGTCTCATGTTTACACAAATTAAACAACTTAATTCTTAATAATATATGGTTATTTACTTCATAGATCTAGGGGTTTAACTTACTTTCTACATGTATTTCAAATGTGCCACGCCTCTCTAAGTCTGTGTCCCAGTCTGGACATCACGCCATCCAAACTTATTTGAAAAGAATGATGTCTCCGCCTGCAGAAGTGGCATCACATTTACTGTCATAAAAGATTTATAGAAGGTAACTACTGATGAACTTTTGGACTTTACCATGTTCTCTCATGCCCTTTCATGACTATACATGTTTCATTAATAATGTATGAATGTACTTTCAAAGGTTACAGCATATAAACATATACCACAACACTGTGTGAGCAATCATACAGTCATCAAATTAAAATACACATTTTTGCACGGCATGCATTGATTGGCAAGGGAGCAGAATATTGTGCTGATTAGATTAAAGGTCACTCAGTTAATGTCAGAACTTACAAAGTTGCTTTGAATGTAAAATAATGATGTGAAGAGACAATTCCTTCAAGGTCCCTTTCTATCAAATCTTTGATCAATCTATCATCTTGTAGACTTTGAAAGGACATGCTGGAGAAGATAAATTGCAAAGGTTGGCTTAAACTTTCAAACGACTTCTTTAAACACGTTTCATAGTCCAGTTTTTGTGAAATGTCCTTTCATGTTGTTGGCCTCATTTTTATGATGCTTGCCTTGATTTAATATTTTTATATTTATTTCCAGTTTTATTACTTTGCTGCCAAATTTGTGTTTTCATCCCTCATCTGTCACTTAGTAAAAGTGGTTTAAGAAGATATATTAATCTAAAAAGGCTTTGATTACCTGCATGCAATTGCATGCTGAGAATCAAGGTCACCTGTTGATTTTTATTTATTTATTTATTTTGCAATTACAGTTCTCTTCTGTAATGGAAAAATATTTTGTACACTTTATCTGGAAATGTCTGAAGAAGGGGCTTGATTTGATTTTTAATGTAAATAACTGCTCTTCAGTGGGTTGTTCATCAAATCAATACCATGATATGTGATAAAAGTAAAAAGGTTCCATCCATGCATTTTGTGTCAGGAATCGGCGCGTGATGCTGCTGAAAATGTTGGTGAACTCAATTAAATGGCCAGACGAGGAAATGTAAAACAAAACCTGTCCCTTTAATAAGAGAACTAACGCTAAACAAAAACCATACAAGACACGGTGTAACACAAAACTCACAGGTTGGTATACCAGTCCGAGATCAGAGCCAGCAAACCTATACAGCAGAGGAATCCAGAAGCAATGCATTGGCTCAGGCTGTCTGCTAAGATAAGGTCAGTTAAATACAAATACACGATTCCGTGTTACAGTTGTGTTGCGGAGGAGAGGTAGAGTCATACTTCTGTCTGTTGCTGAAAGTGCTCCTTCAGCAAACCACAATGTAATTACATCAGTGAGGTATATCCACTATAGATATTTTGCATCCTGATAATGTAGCATCAGTATATGTCTGTACAGAATGTGCAGTGAGTGTCCTTACATCCATACCGACTAAGCAGTTTTGGAGACATATCATAGATAGTATCCACAGTGAATAGAGCCTTAGTATATATTAATTTTCCAGCCCTTTAGTGTATATTAATTTTCCAGCCCTTTTTTTTAACACTTTACCAATTCATGGTCCTGCTCATCCTGAGCCACAGCCTGCACACTTTTCTGATACCTGTTTGTGGTGTGTTTGCTCCACACTCCTCCGTGGACAAGTCATTTTTGCTTTCTTGCTGAGAGCTGCACAAAAACCATGATGTCACTGTCGTGCCTATACAGTAAATATGTAACTATAGCTAGCAGTTGCTACAGTACTGTAGCTTAGCTTAGCATAAAGACATAGAAACCGATCAAACTAACCTGACCTTGTCCAAAGGTTACAAAATCCACCTCACATAAAAAGTTTTTGTCACACATTTGACTGATGGATCATTTGTGTTTATTCACCCCAAACAGTCAAAGTACCAACTCTACAGAAAGTTACAAGCTAGCTAGCAACAGATGCACTGGCTATTTCTGTGGGAGTGTGCTTGTGTGTTTATCATCATGACTGTCCTGTTTGAGTTGCCTTATGTCTAGGCCTATGCTTTTCGCACTTAGTTGTTAAAAACAAAACAAAACAAAACATTACTATAACACAATGAAGTTGTGCTTTTGCACACAAATGGTGGACCAGCTTGCTAAAAGGTGGAATTCTATGCCAGTGTTAATGTCAAAAAACATATTTCATCAAAATAATTTGAGAATTGCAATTGCATAAAAATGTACACATAGTGGCTTTAGAATGAAATATAAAAAAAATGAATATACACTACATGTGCATCTTTAATTTTAGTGTTTTACATCATCAATCTAAAACTGCCAGTTTTTCTTTTGATGGATAACTGGATCAATATTTCACGTGTAAAATGTCTATTAATGTCAGCAAGCAAGAGCACATTCTGATTGCGTGGGGTATGTTTTGATAGAGGCATATTGCAGGATGTACCCCATCTTTGCTTCTCATCTACTATGATTGATGTCATTTGGTGCAATCAATGACAGCTTAGTTTGGTTGTAGAGCATGGGCCTGCTGAATGGAAAAAACAACTTAAATAGAGCTAAATCCGTGACAAACAGATGTGAGCCAGATGTTACCGCCACAGAGACCCCCAAGATGGATTTAACAGTCCAGCAACTGTAGAGGTTACATGATCTCAATCTACATGTGTATAATCAAAGGAGAAGCAACACATGCAGACTGTTATCAAGCAAGATTAAGCCAGCATGTTAACATGGTGACTGCATTAATGCATCTAAAAATGTAATCTCACGTAAGTGAAAAATGATTGGTGCCAATTATGACCTGACATTTATAGCATGACTCTCCATGTCGCAAATGTCATGCTACAACTGACAGGACAGAGGGTTTTTATGTTTCCTTAATGCTGAGCTTTTCTGGCCATTAACAACAGACACATGAGTCAGTGAAGCTTTATTTAGAATCAGATATGCATTACAGTTAAGAAAGAGAAAATGTATTGTTCAGTAGTGGTCCAGACCTCTACATTTATCATCTGCATCAACGCAAAAAGGAACATTCAAGTAAAATAAATACTTTATACAGTATGGTCAGAGAGCACTGTGCTTCCAAAGAGGGAAGGGCTGGGGATAAAATTACTCAGAATATAATCATATATAGAAAAACACTATTGCCAAAATGATAAAATCTGAACAAAAAGACATAAGCAAAAGATTCAATAATTACATAATCCATAACCATATAACCATAAACAGAAGTAACTGTTCATATGAGCATTATTTATTGCTTCTGATATTGCATATAAAGAACAGCTGGTACCTAACATTCACTTAAATGTAGTCATATACTGTAATACCACTGGTGTCTTCCGTAAACCTATTAACTAGTGGCAGGCCACACAGAAAGGCATAAAATCACAAGAGTAGATCACATTCATGTTTAAACTGCTCATTCTGTAGCCATACCTAGAGACAAAAGGTTGAAACAATTGTAATTCTGGGAGAAGTGGGAAGATTGCAAACCTAACTCTGCTGAAGTGTGTAGTGCATGCAGCTCTCGCAGTGGGTACAGTATCATGTAAAAAGCTCAAAGCTGTGTGGTCTGACTGTAACTGTAAAACACTCTTGATATATACACTTATTTGAGCTCTTGTATGATAAATGTGATGCTACAAACGGGACATTAGCTAAGCATTGATATGGGAAATATGGAAAGATAACACATTTCACTTACTGTATCATCTCCAAAGCTAACTCATTCATTTACTATATGAGAATGTGAGTGGTACCAATCATCTCCCCAGTGCTCAGTAACAAAGCAACATGTTGAGCTATTCGTTAGAGATAACACTCAGCTATTTAATGACAGACATATTAATACTTGATGTTACACTTTTGCTTGAAACCCTAAAAATAACAAATGTAACATAAGTCTGGTAATGGGCTCAATTAGCAGTTACTTTAAATTATGTCCAAATCCAAATATTTATCATGAATATTTGCAAGTTATCATTAAAGCTTATAGAAACAACAAAGTTACCTACAAAACAAAATGTTTAAGAAAGCACTGTAAAGCTCGAGCTGTTCTGCTCAATTTCTCAATATCCAGTCATCGAAGCACTAGACTAACACTATGTTGCTGTATATACATGACAAAGAAGCTGACTTTACTGGCTTAGTGGTGCTTTTCTAAAAGCTGGACATACGGTATATACATGTTTTTCCAACTACGAACATACATTCACACATACAGGATTCCTTAACACGGTGACCTGGAAACGGAAGCTGCCACTGTCACTTTAGCTTGATATCTGGCCCCATTTAATCTCTACATAAACAGAGAAATAAGAGTAATGGTAGCACAAAATGAGCAAAAAGTATTTAACTAAAGGTTTTATAACTGGCTTCTGAAAAAGTAATTGCAGGAGAATTCAGTGCATTCATAATGAGTTATCACACTCTGAAGGCAACACATTTAGCATGGCTATTCATCTGCTTTTAACAAGGAAGCAAAGTTCCATGTGCCTGGGCCCAGCCTCACATACCTGGACCGCCAGCTCATTTGTACAAAGTAAGACTTACAAAGATAAAAGCCTGTAACACGGTAAAAATGTTGTTTTGCATAGCATTTGGCCTTGCTGTACTATCATCTGCTGTTGACTCAAGAAAAAAATACAAAAGCCAAATGCTAAAATTTCAATATATCAGAATTTGGCAGAAATTAATCAGTGACTAAGTTCTAAAATGAGATAAATGAATTGTTTTAAAGAAAAGTTGTTAATCTTACATGTACAAACTCAAGGCAAACATAGAAGCATTTTCTAAAGCAACACACATGCAGTATACTGTAATGACCTAAAAAAAATACACATCATGATACAAGGACTAAGTGCTTGGCATTGTTTTTGATTTCATTGTAGTTATCAAATCCTGAAGTGGTTGTCAGGAGGATGGATGACTTCCATCATGGAGCTTACACGGCTCCTTTGACCACTGGTTCCCTATTGAGATATGTGGCCCAGTACACCAGGTTGAAGGTTCCAAACAGCACCGGGAACACTATCCTGGACATCTTGTCAATCTTGCTCACGCTGTTGTAAGTTTTTTTGGGGTCAGGGGCCTTGGTTTCAGATGGTTTGAGCTGAACAGCTGTGCTATTTGAAATGGTGGCGATAGATGTGTCCTTTGTAAGGTTGGCTGTATAATTCACACCGGCTGAACAAGTGTTGTTTGGCTTTTTAGACAGCGCCAAATGGTCTTTTTTCTGTGAAGAAGTTTAAAAAGCATGGATTTAGAGTGTTACAGACACAACTCCAGCCAAAAATGGTTTTGTATTTTCATCAAACAATAAAACAGCTCATTGATACTACAGGCACACACGAAAACACAAAGAGAAAATAAAAGATGGCCAAGTGGAGGTGGAAAGTGGCTCACTGAGTCCTTGGGCCATAATGAACTGGCACTGTGCCACAACACTGGCAGACTGAGCTGCAAATTCACTGATCCACCATTTTTACACCTCTGTGCCAGTGATAGCTGCAGCTGGAGGCATTATGTTTTTGGGTTGTCCATTCGTCCGTCTGGCCCATTCTTGTGAACACGATATGTCAGGAACGCCTTGAGGGAATTTGTTCAAATTTGTTCAAATTTCTCCCCTTGGAGTCAAGGATGAACTGTTTAGCTTTTGGTGGTCAAAGGTCAGAGGTCAAGGTCAGTGACATCATGTCTCTCCCATTCCTGTGAATTTGACTGGATGGTAGAGACATACAACCACAAAGCAGTAATTCTAGTTTTAGTTCTAAATCTTGCCCATATTCATTTCTTACTTTATCATGTGTGACATGCACTTTCTCAGTCCTCCTCTGTTTCTTGCTTCCCACATTACAACTTTTTTGCAGTAAGGAAGTAACAGAGAAACATACAGTAGGATAGCAAAGAGGAAAGAAAAGTGGAGTCACCGTGGGACCACTAGCAACATAACCTGAAACCACAGTAGAATGTAAAAGCTACCATAACATTATCTGGTAAAGTTCAAACCTAGGCAACAGCACTGGCTGTTTTTTCATTTTTTAAACATTTTCTATATATATATGGTAGTCAGAACTGAGGGGATTATACTACCAGAAGGCAACATAGCAGATGTTGAGGACAGCTACAAGTACTTTTGGATCCCGCAGGTAAATGGGAACCATGAAGAGGCAGCAAGGAAAGCAGCAACCGCCAAGTACCTGCAGAGAGTAAGGCAAGTCCTGAGAAGTCAGCTAAATGGAAAGAACAAAGTCTGGGCGATCAACACCTACACCCTGCCGGTCATCACGTGTCATAATAAGCTGGCCAAAGGAGGAGATAGAGGTCACTGACATCAAGACAAGGATGCTCCTTACAATGCACGGTGGGTTTCACCCCAAGTCCAGCATCCTGAGACTGTACACTAAGCGGAAGGAAGGAGGTAAGCGGAAGAAGGGAGGCCGAGGATTGGTGAGTGTCAGAGCCACTATCCAGGACGAAACAACAAAAATCCATGAATATATCAGGAAGATGGCCCCGAGTGATGACATGCTTAGTGAATACCTCAGGCAGCAGAAACCAGAGGAACAAGGGAAGGAAGAGCAGGAACCCTCATGGAAGGACAAACCTCTGCACGGTAGGTACCACTGTCAAATACAAGAAGTGGCTGATATCGAAAAATCCTACCAGTGGCTGGACAAAGCTGGACTGAAAGACAGCACAGAGGCACTAATCCTGGCAGCACAAGAACAAGCTCTAAGTACAAGATCAGTAGAGGCTGGGATCCATCATACCAGACAGGACCCCAGGTGCAGGCTGTGCAAAGATGCCCCTGAGACAACCCAGCACATAACAGTGGGGTGCAATATGCTAGCAGGGCATACTTGGAATGCCATAACCAAGTGGCTGGCATAGTGTACAGAAACATCTGTGCCGAGTACAGGCTGGAAGTCCCAAAGTCAAAATGGGATACACCTCCAAAGGTGGTTGAGAATGACCAAGCTAAGATCCTGTGGGACTTCAAGATACAAACTGACAAACTGGTAATGGCCAACCAACCGGACATAGTAGTGGTGGACAAACAGAAGAAGAAGGCCGTGGTGATAGATGTAGCAATCCCAAGCAATAGCAACATCAGGAAGAAGGAACACACGTCGGACTGTCTTCAGCTCCTGATGTTTTTACAGCTGTCTGTGTAAGGGGTTAGCCCAAAACTGATAAATGTATTAGGCTCTGTGTTTCTGGGTGCTTTTTGCCTGCTCTCTTCTCCAGCAACTTGTCTGAAGGAGGGAGCCCTGGGTTGTGTTCTGTAATCCTTTTTATACATATATTTATATACTGCTCAAAAAAATAAAGGGAACACAACATAAGACATCCTAGATCTGAATGAATGAAATATTCTTATTAAATACCTTGTTCATTACATAGTTGAATGTCTTGTTTTCCCTTGTGTTCCCTTTATTTTTTGAGCAGTGTATATATATTACAGAAGACATAGCTGCTTGTGTACTATATACCTGTGCGTATCTGAATGTGTAAGGTGTCTATCTCACTGCAGATGTGTCTCAACTACTGGGTGACTAGCAGTGGGTGATTAGCACATTCACTAACATCACCATCACTGACACAGTGGTGTTCCTGGCAGGCTTTCCTGTCACAGCCACGGACCCTTCAGTGGGGTCCTGTTTATATTAATACTGGCTCAAATGACAATGTGTGATGTGAAAGACTTTGCTTGAAAGAATTATCACCTACCTCTACAGTTTCCTTCAGCTGTAGGGACACTTTCAGCTTCAGCCCATTGTTTTTGTTTTATAGCCTGCAACTTTAACTTGACCATATTTATTCAGTCTCTCTGTTCTAATCAACCTTGTATTCATATGCAAGGGGACGTGTAACATGTAACAATAGTGATATCAACTTTATAAGAACATAATTTTGTGTAATTTTGGGCTTGTTTGCGAAATGGAAAAAAAACAGATTAGATGGCTGAGTGAAACTTTGGTGGGTAAGTTTTCCCTGTGTGTGTTCATAAAAGGTCATGCTATGCGACTGTGAATCATACTTTTATTTCTGTTCATATTTTCAACCGGAATATAGATGCCAAAGGACTATGGCACTTGACAATTAGTCATGTTTCTAATATGCAGTCACCAATGGCAACTTCTAACAGCTGCAGACAGGGCATAGTACCTTACAAGCTATTTGACTTTTTCTTTTGTAGGTATCACTGATATCTACAAATCTACTACTAAAAAGGTATGGACATTACAGAGACTGGCAAATGGAAACACAACAAACAGTATCAGCTACAGGCTGACCCTTTATAACTTCACTGACTTTACTGTATAACCTCCTCCAAACTATGGTGAAAAACGCTACCAAACACCTACACCTACCTCTCCATGGACTGCATTCATACTCTAGTCTTCAATATTAAATTGTAACCATAAAACCAAAATAAACTGTTAAACTTGAGGGAAACACATTTTAGTGCCAAGAATAGTTTGATCCCCACAATGTGATTGTGTGTATTATCAACAAGAACACACACACACACACACACACACAAACCTTGCGCTGTTGAGCCTCCATTGCCTTTTTTCCATCCCAAGCCCAGCTCCTCTTGGTGAAGTAATTAACTGTGGCAAATTCAATGAGGGCAGAGAAGACAAAGGCATAGCAGACTGCGATGAACCAATCCATGGCAGTGGCATAAGCCACTTTAGGCAGCGAGTTTCGAGCGCTGATGCTGAGAGTAGTCATGGTGAGCACGGTGGTCACACCTGGTGGTGGAAAAAAAGTGGATCACTTTTACAAACTGGATATGCTATCGTGTTTTTACTTCAACATCAAACAATGGGACATTTCTTAAGTTATTTCACAGTTTCATGCATTTGTGTGCTTCAAATTTACCAAAGACAGTTCGGGCTGGTACAGACTCTCGATTGAGCCAAAAGGAAACTTGGGACAGGATTACAGTCATGAAGCAGGGCATGTAGGTCTGAATGACAAAGTAGCCGATCTTCCTCTTCAGGTAAAAGTGAGCCATCATCACGGTGTATTGACCTGGAGGGAACAGCAGAACAGAAGAGGTGACATTACTAAAATAAGTAATATATGCATACAGAAATGAATGGGACACACAGTAGGTGACTGTATAGCATATTATTTCATACAAAATTTAAAAACTACTTGTCTAAAGTCTCATATTCTAGAGCCCCTATGTGTACAATTTGAACTAGATTTGGGCCAAAACCTATTTTAAATTAGTGTTCATTCATAAAATGTCAAAACATGTGCCCATTAACACTGTTCTTAGTGTCAACAACAACAACAACAAAAAAAACAGAACTATTGATCTGTTGATCCAATTGACAAGTATTGTGTGTAAAACCAAAGCATGATATAGTTTATTCCTCTGTGTCACAGAGCTCCATTCTTATGCAAAGACTATTAAAACACACCCATGGGCTGCAGCCTCCCACTGGGTGAAATGTTCCTTCTTTACTATGAGCACTGTTTATTTCAAGGCAATCCCACATGCAGTACAGTACACCATCCTGCTGCCATAAATACGCAGTAGAGCACCAAATGTGTTAACTCACAATTGAAAATAGCTCCCAACAAATGTACTGTTTACTCCAGTACAACTCACATGTGCTAAAAACTACAGTGTCCAGCTGTTCAAGACATAAATTCACCTTTTTAAAAATGAAAGTATAATTCCACCACCAATTTTAAAGGCTTACATTGCTTAGTAAGAACAAATGGGCATGCCACAGACAGACAAAGGAAGTAAAGTGTTGAGAGATGAACTAAAACATTGTTAGAATAAAACATGCTGATGTCCACTCTTAATGCTACAAAATTGATTGAATTTCTTGTCATTTGACCAGGAAAATAAAGTTACATGCTTTCATTTACTGTTAACCAAGAATATTGGGTTAATATTTAAAATACAACAAACAAGTGTAAAAGATTTTAAACTAGTGAACTACACAGACACTAAAAATAACACCAATTCTCTATCTGACATTGGGGCAAACTTGATTCTCTGCCAGCAAGGATGTCTTTTCACTCATATAGTCACTGTAAATCCACCTGTGTTGGTTCAATCCACAGTGACATATGTGGAAATGAGAAAATGCTAAGGTTCATACAGTATGTCCTTTGTGTGACCTTTATAGAAGAGAGACTCCCTTCTCCAAAGTTTTCATGTTAAATAAATGTGGTTTGTGCCTTCTGTTATTAATATCTGGGGAGTCAGTCACTGTCTACTCCTGTAATGTTGGTGTGTGGGTGAACTCCTTTGGGGCTGTAACTGAAATTAAAGGCTCTTCCTACACATTTACTCAACAACATCCTGGACAGTTTCTCTACTGAATGTGAAAGGATAAACTAAATTATTGAAAACCATGATGATAGAGAAATCATCATATCCTTTTAACCAAGTGAAAATTGCATTTAAAGTTTTATTTTTCCTCAAAAATCCTGTTGAGCCATGGAGTCTATAGAAAATCCACAGATGACTGCTGCCTTCTCCTGGCAAAATCGGATTTTCTGTCTCACTAATCCCCTCTCAAAATCTGCATCCTGTACAGTATCTCTCTCTCCCTCTAATGAGTGTGTGTGTGTGCAACAGACAGTCCATCCCATTCTGTCAGGCCAGGCCACACGCTTGACTGGGGACATACATCCTTGCTTTGCCTGAGCTTGAGCACTAAAACAGACCCGGAGCATAGATGAGTGCAGCAGAGGGGCGCTGAGACGGACTTGAGGAAAAAGTTTGGACCGTCTGTGTGATGCAGCAACAAGCATCATGTCCTTAATGAAAAGAACACGTGTTGCCTCCGCTCCGAGGACTACTAGCCAGCAGCCCGGCTCTGTGGAGGCGCGACCGGGGGAACCCCACTCTGATCTGACAGCCTGCTGGGATTGGACATGGATGGAAATCTCCAAGGTGTGAAAAAATGCAGCTGTGGTGGATATTACTGTTCGTTCTTTGGAGTGTCTGTGGGGAGCTGCCATTCATAGCAGAGAACAATGCAGCTATGTTGGTCAACTGGTAAGTACAAATCAACACCATCTGTTGAGCTTTGCCACTTTCTGTTTTGATCTGAAAGCACTGGCGTGTGTAAAGCAGTGAAATGAAGGTCTACCTATCATTAGTTCAGTTCCTGTGTCTACATTTTCGTCCTCTTTGGCTTAACCTGTGGGTAAAGGTCACCTCCACCCACTTTGCTGAGCTATTCTTGACTTGTTAAAGAAGGTTTGTACCTCAGATTAGCAATGCTAATTAAGGCCATGCCAGCTCAGTGCGTCTTCCCTCTTCAATTGGCATGAGCAGTGTGGGATGGAGAAAGAGATGCACTGAGAAACTATAGTGACCCATGTGTTAATCTCAGCTTGCTGAATGGTTCGAGTCTGGGTTTTCCACCAGCATAGGCACAGTTCTGCTGTATACAAAGCTTCATGGCCTAGGTAACTTACAATATGTAAATGTTTTATTCCCATGCTGTGCATTATCCAGGGTAAACACCATCATTCTGTGGCAGGATAAAGCAAATATCTCTGTTTACATTACAGCTATAGGAACACCTCCCTTGTACTCACTACCAATAGCAAAACAAATGCATTTCCATACTTCTTTACATAACAGAATTAAGCAGATGCAGATTCAGTGCCCACACCACGTGCCGCTGCCACCGCAGCCAATCCATCAGCTGCAATGTCACTCAGTAAAAGCACAGCTGATGGGCTTGCATGCGGATTAACTCTACAGACCCTGTGGTTCAGACCATGAATATGTGATTTTTTTTGTTTTGTTCTTTGCCCACCCTCTCTCGTCTCTGGGCAGCTCCAGCTGGCCCTGTGTGGGAGGCATTCTCAAATCCTTGTGATCCATTTATTGTCTCTATCCAGCTTGATTTGAAAAACGTCACATCTTTCAGTGACACACTGTAATAACACAGAGCTGAATAAAGGAGTGAATGAGGGGGCTTAACCTTCCCTGCTTCTGCCTGAAGCTACTGCACATGACCAGGGCTCTAAGGAGGAAAGAACATGAATTCTAGCTAAGATGTAAAGAGTCGTGCTTATGATACTGGGGATATTTGTATTCTGGCCCGTATTGCATGTGGCCAGGTGGCAGCTTACTCTCACTTTACTTTACCTCGGCTGGTGTGGATGTCTTCTGTCCCTGCCGTCTGACCAGTCAGGTGGTACTGATTGAGCCGAGAGCCATCCTCTGCCACCACCACCGACTTGGCTGCTCCCTGAGTCCACGTGTAGACCACCTCTGAGATTGGATATGCATCTATGAAAACACAACAGAAAGATGTACATGTTACGTTTTTGCATATACTGTAGCTGGACATTGGCTGTTAATCATAAGCACTCTGTTATAAAATATAATTAATTTCAATTTTAATTTGACTCTTCAATTTAACTTCAGGAAGCACATGTACACCACAGGGTGCTACACTGATCTTCATGAACACAGCTGATCTAAGGCCAATAGGGAGTGAAAACATAACGAAGACATGTTAAAAATGTCTGGCAGCACATAATAAAGATAAAGACTATGATGAGGAATGACCCTGTCAGTTTTTATCCTAATTCAGATTCCTTAACTCACACAGACATAGAGCTGAAACTATTAACGATTAGTCAGCTAACAGAAGATTAAGAAATATCTAAACATTTCTTAATCTTCTGTTAGCTGACTAATTGTTAATAGTTTCAGCTAACAAAAGATTAAGAAATGTTTAGATATTTTTTAATCAACTGTTCCAGTCATTTTAAAGCAAAAATTCCAAGCATTTCTTGTTTCCATATAAGACACTGAAGTGTTTAAATTTGGGGTTTGGGGCTATGAGGAATTATTATAACCATTTCCACTTTTTGAAAAAGTAAAAAGCAAAACCATGTGAGTCACAGAAAGTGCAGTGGTATTCACATACCAGTGCCTTGAATTCATCTATTTTAAATGTGTACACAGCACAGTATGTCACTGTGTGAAGCTGACTGTCGAATCATTCTTTAAGTTGCTGTGAGACTGTATCTGTAATTCACCTTAAAAAAATGACTCACATGCATCTACATTGTTTGTGACCATGAGCAAATTAATAATACTTTTATGTTAGAAAAGGAGATTCATTTTCAACCTTGGGAACATACGTATGTCTTTGGCAAGTACACAAAATGGCCCTCTTACTTAACTGTTGCAGGAGCTTTCAACCATCAAAAGATTCAAGAGTAGCTAAATAAGTTCACCATGCATTTAGAATACTTACAGTAATGTGTTAGGTCTGACAGATACCTGGTCTGTTTCATTGGATCATTTAGCTAATGGTCCAATGTACAGTGAATCAGTGCATCACTAATGTGTATGCCTAGTGTCACCTATATACTAATATGGACCATTAACAGTGACAACCTTAATCACTATCCTATTCCAGTTAAGAACACAATATTATCATTACTGTTTCTAACTGATGGCAGTAACTAGAGTAGGTCAACCATTAATTGTAGGGTTGGTGGTTCAATTCACATCCACAGTATCTGTCAAAGTGTTCTCGAGCAAGACAATTTGCTCCTCATTTGTGTAACAAAACACTGTAAGTCACTTTGGATAAAAGGGTCTGCCTAATGAATGTAATTTCACTGTCAACACAAAAACACACTGCGCATGCGCATACATGCATGCCTGCCTGTACACAGGCACATTTAGAAGGCGGTGGCTGAAACGGAAAAAACGCCAATGCCCTCCACTCTCACTGCATGTTCAATTTATTATGTCCCTGTTCTCTATGAGCTTTTGTTGTTACAGCAAGGATAAATTTGATAAATGACATGTTATGTGAATACAATTATGTAAGAGTTACTTTCTTAGTCATGCCTGTTTACAGGCGCAGGTACTCTGGGATATTTGGCTCCCCTCTGAACTGTGATATCATAAGAGGCCTCATCCTTAAGTAGGTGAACTCACATACTGAGGTCAAGTTATTTCACCATCCCCTCATCCTTTAAAGTTCAACAGGCCACTTAATTTTTCTCATCAAGTTAGAAACATGTAAACAAGAAAATGTATCCCTAAGCATGCTCAAAAAAAAAACACAAAAAAAGTGGTACAGACAATCAAAAACATAATCCCAGAGTTGATTCCAAATAGGATACACTTTCAATAATGAACATAATAATATATAATAATCAAATTTTCACTATAATAGAAAATGTTTTTATTTAATTTGATCTCTGCAGGGTATTTACTCACAAGATAAATCAGCACTAGCCTTATCCTTCAAGGGATATTTTTCAGTCTACATTAGAGTCTTAATGATCTCTGCAATACTGTGGAAAATGTTCCTCTGATCAAAGCTTGGACACTAATAGCAGGATTTGCCTGTGGGCCTTTTCTTATAACATATCAAGAAAACTGTACAAGCTGCTGTCCAGCTGGTGTTTATTATATTCCTTTGCCCCTGAGATGTCACTAGCTAATACCACTTTCCCACATAAGGGTACTGTGTATACATGGGTTTTTTCTAACTGACTCTCCAGCAGCTTGTTTCACGGTGGTGATGTCAAATATGCCAGTAAATAGAGATGTATACAATGCTGCAGGGAATCTAATGAGTTGGTCATTATATTTTCTTTGCATTTACTGTTCCAAAATATAAAAACTCATGTTAGAGAGTTGGCTGAACAAAGACAGGTGAACTTTATGGCTGAGATGGCAAAGAATCACCAAATTTATCTAGGGAGGAGACAAGCCTTCATTATGTCCTTGTTGGCAGTTGTTGAACTGATGATGACAAGTGCGTCATTGCGTACGTTCACGGGTTTAGCCGAGTTTGGCTTTCTCGTTGTTTCTAAGCTGAGGCATGCCAAGGAAAAGCGGATAATGACCGGTGTGGAGTCATTTGTCCCAGTAGTTGCATTCCCGCTGCTGTCAAAAGCCGGGGTGTGGCGAGTTTAGATGGGTTTTTTGGGCAGTGGAAAAGGGGCTTAAAAAGTGTTAGGTGGCTGTGATACAGTGCTTGACCTTTCACCCACTTTGCTTCATTACACAGATTAACTCAGTGTCGGTGTTGAGAGCTGGTGTTCAGAGCTGATGTGATCAGTGTGGCTGTATCACAATGTGCAGATGGTACTAATGGTATGATGTTACTGTGTGTGTGAATGTTGGCACAGTTTGACAGATTGCTTTGAATGATTCCCAGTTTGCTTACTGGGTTTAGCTTTGGACTTGGCGCTGTAGTTTTCTTTCAGTACAAAGCACAGCTTAATATACTGTAAGCCTTAGTTTGCCTCTTTCATATACCAATGCAAATCCATCCCACTGTGAGTGCACGGCAAGTCTTCGATTCATTCGAGATCCTTTTGAAAACTAGCAAGCCCTGGAAAATGCACATGCTGTCTCACTCACTCATACTGTAGTACAGACAACACACATAATGTGGATGCACTAAATCTATGTGTTTCTCTCTCTCGGTTGGACTGCAGCACAGTGTTTGGTCTAACAGTGCTGCATTAATCCAGCCACTGTGGTCTTAGAAGACTTGGCAGTAATTTAGACTGACCCAAGTCAACCATTTGGTGGATTATTGTCTCACAGACACTGTATTATCCCAAACAAGTCTTTTTGGAACTGTTACCTTAAATTAGTTATTTATATCTAGAAACAGACTTTACTTTACTTTTACTTTAAAATGATAATATTCTTAATGATTTTGTTCAAGCTTTGCCTATATAACTATGGAGTATACATAGGATAAGATACTGTATGTAATGGCCGAGCCATCCATTGCTTTAAAAGTGACATATAAAAAATTTGCTTTAATCCAGTTTAATCACAGACTGTTGTTGCATTGTTTGGTTACATGTTTTGCTACAATATTCTGGACAAGGTGCAAAGGGCATTTGGTGTTTTTTTGTGTGATTGATTTTAAATATTGACTGGTTGAGATATCAAAGAAAGATTAGGTTCTATTTATGGCCGCACTGTCAGCTGGAGGAGCTAGACAGCAGTAGTAAACATTCTAACTGGACAAAAGAGAGAGTTTCAAAAATTTCTGTCTGGCTAAAAGCTACTCAAATACAGTAAGCCCTTTTCAGACATGGGAAATGGAACATTGCTGGTGTTATCAGTCTGTTAAAACAACTTTGTGTAACTCAGACGTAGGTCACTTTTACAGGACTTCATTCAGACGCACCTACGATGGAAACAAAGAGAACCACGTACAATATCCGCCATGTGCGTAACATTGTGGTAATCTTGTACATGCCTAATCATTAATGTGACAGCATGCAGTTCAGACGTGTTTCATGTTGAAAGTGATATGTAAATGTTACTAGGTCCCAACTGCTGTATAAGACTGCCATTGCAGCTTTTACAGAAAAGCGACCAGGGGGCTCATTCTGACACGAAGCTGACACATTCAGATGCCATCAGGTTAATGGAAAGGCGTGCATGTCTGAAACGGGTTGTACATGTCTGATACTTTGTTATATTTTACATGCTTAATTTGTGCTTACATCATAACACAATGAATGCATGAGATGCAGTATAGTACTGAATTACTGCATGGTGTTTTCAGAAATGGAATCAGTATTAGTGACACTGAGTAAAACACAACTTGCCAAGTTAAAAATCAAAATTACCGCTTTGCAGTTCTATGCCTCCGCCAACCAGTCAAATTCATGGGAATGGGACAAATGTGAGGTCACTGACCCTGACCTTTGACCTTCAACCACCAAAATCTAATCAGTTCATCCTTGAGTCCAAGTGGACACATGCCACATTTGAAGAAATTCTCTTAAAGCATTCCTGAAATATCACTTTCACAAGAATGGGATGGACATGAAATGACAGTAACTTCTGACCTTTGAACACTAAAATCTAATCAGTTCATCCTTGAGTTTAACAGTTGACACGCATGTGGTACTGGTGGCCGTCCTGAATGAAGTAAACTGTGATCATGCCAGTCACCTTATGTAAAGTAATACAGTACATGCAGAAGTAATATCTTTGCTTTTCATGGAGGTTTGATTTTTTTAAAGGAAAATACAGTATTTATCAAATTGTTTAAAATGTCTGATCCTTAGTACAGGAGCACTCCGTACAAACTGGTTTACACACCAAGGTGATCATGGGCACTTGTGAATTTACAGACATGCTGCTTTTTCCCAGGTCTCTGCCTGATTTCATGTGTTTCTCCTGCTGTGTGCCCTTTCTTCCATTCCCTCACAAGTTATATTCACAGCACCGCTAAGTGAAAAGTTAACGCTGCCTTTGTTCCAGCTGTTGGGAAGGGTGATATAACTCCTACATTCCCACCTACGGTTTCTGTCTATTCAGAGGAAATATATATGAAAACAGCCTGAGAATTATTGTTATTATTATTATTATTGCATAATTTTGAGCATGAGGCACATGCTAACAAAAACAACCTGTTAAATTTACTGAGTCAATGGCCTATCTGAAAATGAGACAATTCTCTGTCTCATTTTGCTTTCTATTTGCTCTTCAGGTCATTTTCAGGCACACAAACCAGGCTTCTATTCATTTGTGAGATGGAATCTATTATTTTAGCTGAGAAATCTGAAAGAATACAACATTAAAATGAACATTTTACTATAATATGAGCATAACAGAGGATAAAAACAGCACAGAAGACTTGAGACATCCTACAAATAGACCAATAGGCTAGAAAGGGACGTATTGTCTTCTTCCAGCTGATTTGAATCTTGGGATGTTTTTATAAGTTACACTGCCTAAATATCTGCAAATGCACACATCAAATCATATTCAGTGTTTAGTGTATTCTAAAATCAAATGATTGCATTAGTAAAAAGAAGAATGCTTTGTGGTACAAAACAAAATGCTAAGTGGTACAAAACAGAAGACAGATGTAAGAAAGCAAACAAATTAACAATGTGGTTTAAAAGTAAGAAGTCTGAATTTAAAATTTGTTTTTTTTGGCAACAAAACAAATAAATGTAAAGGTGGATAGGGCAGAGAGAGAAATGAATATGAGAAATTACCATGGAGCTGTTTAGAGAAATGGGGCTAGTGACAACATTAGCAGAGTAACAAAACAGAGACAGACAAATGAAAAGACATTTAGAAAAGACTTAGGAGTAACTGGGGCTATATGGAGATTGACACCTCATCATGTCTGGCTTCTTTGTCAGCAAAAGAGCTACTGGAGGAGATAAAATGAATAAAACAAATGCATAAGAATTATAGTATGCTGCTATCTTGACACTAGCACAGTCAGTAGCAAATAGCCAAGATTGCAACCAAGATCTGCTATTGTGCACAGCAAAATCTATTTTCCCTAACAAATTCATTCAAGACCATGTTGCAAAAATGACTACACCCCAATGAAAGTCTTAGGAGCAAAGCTAAATTTTAGACAAAATCCTTATGAACAAGAATTCAACTACAGGTGAGTCTAATTATTCATTAAGCAGGTGTCCAGCAGACAATTGACTATAAAAGGGTTGTTATTTAACAAAGAAAACCCCCTCCCAATTCATGCTTTCGGCAATGGCACCACATGGAAGGGAAATGTCACAAGACCTGAGAAGGAAAATAATTTCTTTACACAAGAAAGGTGAAGGCTGCAGGAAGATCAGCAAAGCTTTACTTATCAGTCAGAATACTGTAGCAAAAGTGGCACAAATATTTAACAAAGATGGAACTGCAACCATCTCACAGAGATGTCCAGGCCGTCCATGGGCGTTAACACCTTGACAGGAGTGTCTTCTGATGAGAAGGGTTGAAGAAAATCACCATGCAAGTTCTCTGCACTTAGCATAAAGAAGTAGAAAGCCAAATGGGGGTGATTGTTTCCCGTGACACAATATGGTGTACACTGCAGAGAAATGGCATGCATGGGTGTCGTCCATGAAGGAAGCCTCTCCTAAAGCCCATGTACAAAAAGGTTCACCTAGAATTTGTCAGGGCCCATGCTGAAAAAGAGGAAGACTACTGGGACTCTGTACTCTGGAGTGATGAGACCAAGATAAATGTTTTTGGAACTGATGGCTTCAAAACTGTATGGTGTCACAAAGGTGAGGAGTACAAAGAAAAATGCATGGTGCCTACAGTGAAACATGGTGGTGGCAGTGTCCTCCCGTGGGGCTACATGACTGCTGCTGGTGTTGGCAACCTGCATTTAATGATGGTATCATGAATTCACAGATGTACTGCTCTATATTGAAAGAGAAGACGCTACCATCACTCCGTGTCCTTGGGCGTCGTGCACGTTTCCAACATGACAATGATCCAAAACACACATCTAAGGCCACTGTTGCATTTCTGAAGAAGAACATGGTGAAAGTGATTCAGTGGCCAAGTATGTCTCCTGATCTGAACCTCACCAAACACCTATGGGGAATTCTGAAGAGGCAAGTTGAGCATCACTCTCCATCCAGGTTCTAAAAGAGGTCGTTCTTGAAGAATGGAAAAAGATAGATGTTGCAATATGTTGCCAATTTGTTCAATCCATGCCTAAAAGACTTGATGCTGTCCTCACTCATGGAACTCATGGAGGTCATACCAAATACTAGATGTAGTAGTGTTTGTTGTGGGGTGTATTCATTTTTGCAGCAACTAATTTGAGTAAAACTGTAGATTTTGTAATCTAAGTGATATTATTAACCTGACTTTCATGTAATGAGTTAAACAAATGTTCTATACAACTCAGTTTTGTCCAAATTTTAGAAACTGTTCTTGTGCTCGTTAAGATATTTATTAAAATCTTACTTTTCAAAATGGGTGTACTCACTTATGCTGTGCACTGTACATATGTCATTCAGCTTCTTTTAAATTATGACAGACACAGCTGTACACTGTCACTTTAGGTTTCACGCTACTGTAAAAAAACAACAAAATAAAAAACCATGAGGCAAGAAACAAGAGTGCTAGTAGGGTCAGTCCGGTTCAGGTGATTAACACAACAGTAAAGGACAGGTCTTCTGTCACTTTGAAAGCCTTGAGCTCCACAGTCAAAGGATTATCTGGGGTTAATGGAGATGGAGGAAACAGGATATATTGCACCGTAGTAACTTTTACAGCTTGTAACTTTGCTTGGGCTGTATTTTTACAATCACATCAGGCTTACACAATCATTTTATGATCAACAAAGTGCTTCTTATGCTTCAGCCAGCAGCCTTTAGTTTTGTTAGATGCTGTGCAGTAAACTCTGTTGTAAAGGATAATGTTCTATCAGAGCCTATCACAGCTCTTTAAATGAAAATACAACAAACACCTTTCTAAATATATAATACTGACAAAATAAATGTGTCAGATGCTGAGAAATATGACAACTTTCCATCATAGCTATGCTTGTGTGTCTATGTCTTGTTGTTGTCTAGATTTAGATATTTTTCTACATTTTCTTACTAATGCATTTATTACCAATTAAATGTATAGTTTTATTTTGCACTTTTAAAGAGGTTCATTTTGGCACAAATTCACTTGAGGACGTAAATAAAGCCAGGTGGATAAAAAAGTACCCTGTATGTTTTCCTTCCTCCCTTATAACTAGCCTCTGCGTACAAAAGCTCTTGCAGGGATAAATAATGCTGCATCTCTGTCACCTATAATCTCAATTACTGATTCTAAAGGATATCAGGTAAATGGATCTGTACTTAAATGTCGCACAGTTAATTCAAGCAGGTTGCAACTTTCTTGTTTCCCTGATAAGTTAACAGAGAACAGGCAGTAACCCTAACCCTCTGCCTGTGAGCACACAGGGCGCTGAGGCGGAGCCCTCCCATCAGCAGCAGGGAAGACCTCAAAAGCTAATCTTAAGCTTATGAGACACAATCTCCTCAGATATTTTTGTACCTCTGGAGGTATGTGAGGCAACCTAATTAGCTTAGAAGTCATGAGGAAATCGGCACAAGCCACAAGCGTGGTTTAGCTATTTATGTGCAAGGTGTAAGGTTGCATTTTTAAAGGTTACCTTGGCGGTAAATGTAGGATTTGGTGTGTGTGTGCCTCAGCTGTTTCCACTGTGTGTGTCTCAAATATTTCCCATTAAATGTAGCTGAGGCAGTGAAGGATACAGGAGAGAAGCCCTGACATGTTGATTAATGGCTTAATCAGGAGCAGTGTGGCAGTGTCTTCACGGCTATCTCCTGCATCACCACAAAAATAGCTTTGCACCGAACATGACTGTCAATCACATCGAGGTAGCCCACAGCTGAAACTGAGGTCAAAACTACATGCTGCTTTTCTCACTAGTGACCTTGTGTGTTTTTATAAAGTTTTTGGTAACACGTTTGATGCTCACTGGCGCCTAGGTTGCTGACATAAGCAGTAATATTTAAACCTTTCTTTGCATTGTTTGATGTGTGCAGTCGCTTCAAGGAGTGTTTACTCACAGCTTCCAAACTTAAGGGGACAAGCATGGGCATCCATTGGGAAATCCTCCAGTTGCATGGGGCATTCTGCTGATATAGTCAATCTAAAATGAGAAATCAGACATCCAGAGGCGTCATTACCATCATGATAACCACTGTCACACAATAACACATCCCTTTATTATACATAATTTGTCCCATTTGGTTTGTGTCTATTTTGTATTTTGCCATTAGCCAATGAAAGCCACAGTTTGTCTTCACTAGTGTGTGTGTGTGTGTGTGTGTGTGTGTGTGTGTGTGTGTGTGTGTGTAATTTTCCAAACACAGAATAATGAGAAACTGAGCCACCAGAGGGACCCATGAACCTATCCATGAAGAATAATACTGCTGTGTGTCCAAAAGTGAGCTTGAAAATGATTTGAGAAAACAAATGAGAATCATCTATGGAGTATGGCTGCCACTTGCCTGTGGAGTTGCAATAAAGCATTACTACACTTTAATTTGAAAAACTAAAAACAAGCTCATCTAGTGGGTTTAAAACACTAAACACTCACAGTGCCACACTGCACAGACTCAGACACAACCTTATCCAATACTGCCCTCTGTTGGCTGTGCATAGAATAGTCAGAGCTGCTGAAACCAGTATTTCCACACAAATATCCACTGACATCACCAGACAAAACAGGAATATATGACATTGTCCAAAAGACAGTTAAATACAATATCATGCCACTTATGTTCCACTACTTTCTATTAGTACTCCTCTATAATTTAAGGAGGAAACATTGTACTTTTTAGGTCCACTACATTAGTGTGTAATTAATTATAGTTACTGGTTACTTTGAAGATTGGGATTTAACGTACAAACCATGTGTCTATATTTACAAGGCTGTCCAGCAGGGTATATACAGAACCTAAAATAGCTTCATATTGACAATTATGACATTTAATACGTGTTACATGCATCAATAATGATAATCAAATGCTATCATATCAGATTATACCGCTATAATAATGTACCACTTTGATAGTAATGTACCATTTTCCATAATGACCATTGATACTATAAGTACATTCTGTTTATAAACATTCAATGCTTTTACTTCAGTGAAATTTCTTTGCAAATCTGTCATAGTTTTACAGTGTGTTTCTGCCTGAATATATGGGTCTGAGTACATTCCCTGCCACTAATTTATACTACTGCATATGACAGTAATGCAGTGTATACACACATTTTTAATTGACCACAGAAGTGGCAATTACATTACACATCATCTGCCATTACAGCTATTTAGTTAAAATATTTTGCACAACATATGATGTCTTTGGTCTGTAAATGCTGTGAAAAACAAAAGAAATACACACAGATCTGAAATTCTTTACATTACACTGAATGTGAGTTTACAGTATTCTACTGTACAGTACAGTAATTTGTCTTTGCGTGCTGCTGTGTGATACATCGCCCCCTTGTGGACCATGATGCGGGGCTCAACTGTGAAATTGATACTGCACCATGCGTGTGTTTATGTTTACAGACAGTGTTTTTCTGCCATTCAAAGTGAATTATATTCAGGAACATTTCATATTTCTCCATAACTTTGTAAAATATCAGCACCTCAAGGATTTTGATGAATTCATTAGACAATTTACTGAAAATTTGTCTGCAGCTATTGAGATAATCAGTTAATGGCTTTAGTCATTTTTCAATCAAAAATGGCAAAAATTAACCGATTCCATCTTCTGATCTATAAGAATTTGCTGCTGTTCTTATTAATTTATTCAGAATAAAATCGCACAACTAATACCACACATATGAACTGTTTCAAGAATATGGGCAGGGAAGTACTGTACTACAACATATAATTACACAAGTTAATAATTTATAATAGAAGAAATGGATGAATATATTAAGTGAACACTGTATATTTAGCACCTTACATTTGGCTCTGAACCTTAGATGTTAACATTTTTAAAGCAGAACGATGGATGATGTTGATTTGGCCTGTGAATGTAATTTAGTGTTAAAGTATTCAAGGTCAGACAGTTGACACGTAACATGGACACAGGAATAACTGTGTTGTAAAAAAACATGCACATACATGTAAATGTGGATTTTATATCATTCTAAACTGAATGACGGGTATTTTCCACTGTTGATCAAATAAAACATTTGATTACAGCCCCTTTAGCTGTGGGAAACATAAATAAGCATTTTTCACTATTTTCTGATTTTACAGACAAAGAAATGATGTGATTTTTCAAGAAAATAATGAGCAGATTAATGATAATGAAAATAATAATTTGCTTATTTAATAATAATACCAACCACTGCAACTGTCTGCTTGTGTCAACTGCAACATCATTAGTTTCAGTGTTATATAAATCAGTGTTTATTTGAGGTGAATCACCAACATTTATCAAAGTACAAAACTACAATATGATATCTTTGCATTTTTCTGGGCTGGACTAAGAATCACAAAGGGACTTAACAGCAAATGGGCAGCACTGAATGGCTTTAATTATTTAAGTACATTAGGTACTGGCTCCTTAATAAGTCATAATGAGCAGTAGAGACTGTGTGCAGACTGTCCCACTGCAACACAAAAAGCAAACTTGCTGCATGTTATTTCACACATGTTCAGGTTACAACATGTTTCAGATTAAAGTACCGTGATGCACTGTGCCTTACTTTAAGAGTGTAAAATACACTGCAAGGCATGCATTGCTAGGATCACAACTCTATCTTTCTCCTGAGAAATATTTTCATTAACTCTAGCTGGGGCACTGTGCACTGTGTTTCCTGTGAACAACCAGTGTAGGAGAGCAATGCTTACATTAAATGTTTCTCTAATAGCCTTGTTCCCAGAACACAAACTAATGGCTTGCACTGTCAGCAAATGCACTGTAGATTTGTAGCAATTTTAAAGTCAGTGGATCAATAGTCATTTTTGACTTGTAGCCATGTCTACTGCCTCTAACTTCCATTGATAATATTTGATTTGGAGCATTTATTGTTCTCATAAGATGACACAACACTAAAATGAGAGTGGATGTTAATGAGTTCTTTCTATCTATGATTGAATATGTCCTTCTGAAGTTTTGACAATAATGAGTTAGAAAGCCATTATTAACATTAATAGTGAGTCAGTTTGTATACTTTCATTACAAATTTTTGACTATAAAAGTGACTTTTAGGCAACAGAAACTGCGATCAAAGATACAAAGATTTTGCATCTGCCCACAGCAGCTGATTTGATTATACAGTAGGTTATTTACAAAGGTTCAGTGGTGGAAGATATACTCAGATTGTTTACTTAAGGAAACGTAGCAATACCACAGTGTAAAAATACTTTGTTACAAGTAAAAATCCTGCATTCAAAATGTTACTTAAGTAAAATTACAAAAGTACTAGCATAAATATATATAAAGTACCAAAAGTAAAACTACTCATTATGCAAAAAGGCCTAGTTTACACTAATGTACATCATATTATTTGATTATATTATTGATGTATTATTGTATGCATCACATTTAATGTTGCAGCTGGTAAAGGGGGAGCTAATGTTATCTACCTTATATGCTTAGAATTTGAATTACTGCTCGGTAGGATGTGAATTTTACATCAAGTATCAATAAATCTTATTATACTGTATTTTGTTTTATTAAGTTTTCTGAAAAGTAAGTAGTAACTAAAGTTATCAAATAGTAGTCAGTACAAAGTGCAATATTTCTCTCTGAAATGTAGTGAAGTATGAAGTAGTGGAAAATGAAAATACTCAAGTAAAGTACAGATACTACCTCAAATTTGTACTTAAATACAGTACTTGAGTAAATGTACTTAGTTACTTTCCATCTCTGCAAAGGGTGAAATGGAGTGCCAGAGCAGTAATAAGTAGGATAGGTCATGCTATCCTAGCACGTTCCTGTCAGAGCATAGATTTCTCTAACACGAGGACAGTTAACTGTGGATGACCACAGTGGGAGGAGGAGGAGTGCTGGGCCAAAACAAACATTTCATATTCCTCTGACCTCCAATATACAATGTGAGGACAACATGATGATGCACTGATGCACTACTGAGGCATGTAGTATGAGTGTGTGGGCTGTGTCAGCGCAGCAGGGGTCTTAAAAACCACTGCCAATTAAGTATTGCAGGTTAATGGAGGATTTAGTCATGTCTCTGGTTTTAAATGGATTACACAACACTGCTAAACAGCACTCATCATGAGTCAGCATTCTAGCCGTAAGACTGGTTGGAAGGGAAATGTTTATTCTACTATAGGGTCAGTGCTGGGAGAGCTTACCTCATGGTGTAGAGAAGAGTCCCATCATCTTTCAGCCGCAGGAGCTTGTTAGGTGTAGTCATATTATGGGCGATAGATTTCTTCCCGTTAAGGAAGAAGGTGTCGGGGGTCCAGATGTTACTGGCCAGGAGATTATTCAGAGGAAGCATCTCCATTGGACCTTTAAAGCAAAGTCTCTCATCTTTCCAGCTTTGACGGAAGAACACATCAATAGTGTATTCCTGAAGAGGAAAACAACAGTCAGCACTACACATAGTAACTGTTTAGTGCAGGAAATACTGTATATAGAAAGTAATGTCATAAAAGTTAAAGGATTACAGCTTTTTGTATACATGGAACCATAATTTAGGAATAAAGAGGTATTTTAACACATATGAGTATATTAAGCAGATGCAGTAGGGCTACAACTGCTTATTTTAAGGATTAATCATATGGTCTATAAAGCTATTATTATATTTACTATTATGAAAAAGGGCATTTTCTGGCTGGATATACAAAAAGATGTTGAATTATCTTAAATCTTCTGATCTCCTTGGTACAAACTGAAAAATAGAAGTTGATCAGAAGAGGTTCTCACCATTTCAGTGTCAGAGACTGGACCAAAGCTGGTAACAAAAATGTTGGTTTTGATCTCCGTCACCTTCTCTGTAAGAACATATCAAACACTTTGAGCCTTCAGGATATCTATTCAAAAATGATGTAAAGCAGGTTCCTGATTTTGGTAACATTAAAGAAAGTAAAGGAAAATAAACCAAATGTCCTTACTCTGAACTCGGTATAAATGTAAATAGCATGAATCAAACACATTGTACAGTTCTGATACTGGGTTTGTGACTCCCTTTTAAATTAATGAAACTCTACTGAATGTTTTAATTAGGTTGAAAATGATCAGGAAGTCAACTGTTGGTTCCATCCTTTAACAAACTAACTTCAGTTAGCAGTTAGTAGGTTATAGACTATCACATGGCTGTTGATAAGAAACTGTTTTACTAAACTCTGAAGCCACTTCCATGCTCTTTAATACTTAATGAATACAGAGGCTGTGCACAGAAAATTGCCACTTAGAAATGGGAAAAAGGAAATAGGAACTGTGCCTGTTCTACCCAAAAGAGCACAAAGTGAACAATTCCCACAGGCTAATGATAGGTAGTTTGAATACAGATGTAAGAGGATTGCTTTCTCAAACAGTTTAATTTCTATAGTGTGCTTCTCGTCCATACTGCCCACGACAGAGACAGGTGTATGTATGGATTACTGCCTGTTTTAAGAATGCAGAATCCTTCATGCGAAAGAAACAGTCACTTCTTTTGTGCAGTAAACTTTAGCATATCAGGTGAGGTCTAAGATGGACTCCAAAATCAAACTCCCCCATAGGATTAGGATCTTAAACTTACCAATGTAAATTTATAATTATATTTACATACTGATAGCTATTTAGAATAAATTCTGATTTCAGTGTAAATCCATTTTGCAATCACTGATAGATGCATATGCAGCACATTCTAACCAGGCTCCACACCCTGCTACTCTAGTATCAGCTGCAGCTCAAGACCCTTGGGACAACCAGAGTACTGCACCTTCTGACCTAAACGTACAGCATTTTTACTTTAATATGGGCAAACAGGTTTGCGATACAGGATCATTTAACCTGTCGGGATCTGTCATAAAACATTAAAGTCACAGAGCTGCAGAAGAGAAACATTTTCTCTCCTTATTGTATGGACCAGCAGCTTTGTATCGACAGCTGATCCTATCTCTCCATCATAGACGTCATGAATACAGACACATTTTCTGTGTCTGGAATAAACAAAAAGAATGAAGTGCACCGAGTTGTTCTCTGTGTGCAGACCTTTCTGTACAAGTTGTGTATTAGGAAACATACCCCTCCCTCCGACACATTTCATAATGGCATCATCAGTTCTCACCTACTGTAGCATATGTGGGACTGCATGAATTATTTAAATGACAGAGGTGTGGACATTTATATATTCAGTGGGCTTACCCCCCAGGCCAGGGCGGAGTCTGTTGTCGTAACCATCCAGAAGTCCGTCAAGTATGCGTGTGAAGATGGTGATGTTGTCGTTTAATTCAGCTTCTTTGGGAGTACCGGTTACATCCTGGCAAAGGCTGAGTATAAGAGCATTTTTAAATTTTGACTTGGCTTAGAGAGAAACCAATCAAAAGACAACACTCTTAAAATGACAAGATGAGATTACGAAACCTAATGTGACCTAACTTACTTTCTAAAAAATAAAGGTATATCTTAATCATTCGAGCAAATACTATAAAAGCTATTTATATTTACTAAGAGGTGACTTATTTAAATATGCCTTTATATTATCCTGACCAGGATACAGCACAGGGGTCAGTTCCTTACCTCAGACGGCAGGTGATGCTCACAAGCAAGACGCAGACCCACAGATGTCTCATTGCAAAGCTGTAGCACATTCCATCGCCCATTCCTGAGACAAAACATGCTCGTATGTTTAAATAACTAAATGAACAGAGTTTTTCACCGCCCATTTTTGTCCACTGCTTTTGTCAAAAATTAAAGCTGTACTAGAAGAATAAAATTTCAGAATTATTTACTGCATAGCCTCCCTTATCGGAGCACTTTCACCATGCAAACAAACCATACATACTGTTATGACAAGGTAAAATTCAGTGTTATAGCCCAATGAAAACAGCTGATTTTACAGGCATTCACTGGCATAAATATTATGCACCCACTGCATACATAGGAGTGTTTAGTAAATTATATCAGCACAAATATTTCACTATTACATCTCCACATGCCCAAAAGTGTGCATAGTTGCACTCTGCCCTTCCATGAAACACTATATGATAGTAAAAGGCAGCATCTGTAAGACCTGCAGATGTTAGCGGATGTCTGATTTAAAATACAGCTAATAATACAGAAATGCTAAGTTTCTTGCAGCAGACTTGCAAACATTGTGTCCTTCCTCAGCCCTGCCATCTCACTGCAAGACCCTCTTCTTAATTTCTATATTCTCCAATGCCCTCTTTAAGTTGATGACTTCCGACCGGACAAAGGCTGAGCTGTACTGCATTTCCCACCACTGGATAGCCTATCAAAGCTAAATGTGTCAGATTCCTCCACCTGTATTGTATCTATACCTGCAACCTGCCCAAGAGTCTCCACGACCAATCCTTTCTCCAACGCAGCTCTTGGCATACAGTAAATTCCTCCAGTGTTGCTGTGACTGTACGCACTCAGCACTGCATCCTCTTGATTCACGACTCACTCAGACACAGATCCATACAAACCGAATCATTTCCCTTCAGTCGGAAATCAAATGTGGATACCTCTTTTCACCCGGCTTTCATTACCACCTTCCGCAGTTGTCTACGTCTCCCCCGTGCAACGGCAGCAGACCTGGAGTGTATCTGACCGTATCCTATTCTCCTCCGATGCCCACACGACCCACTACATCTCACGCTGACCTGTTAAGACGCTCTCTGTTGCATCGGCGCTGAGCCGCAGTAACCAAAGCTTACCACACTATGCGCAGTCAAACTTCTCCCTGCTCCTGCTGTAGATCTCTCACACGCAGACTGCGCTGTTTAGTATTTGGCATCCATTCTGCAGAACGTCACCTTCATCAAATAACTGCATACTGGAAAGAGAGAGAGAGAAAGAAAGATGTGGACTAATTTCACCGCCAGTGTGGTTTATTTCGCCGCAGAGCTACACTTCTGCTGACTGACCGTCCTTTAGTTTGGTCACTGGGAGCCGCAAGCACACAGCAAGCGTTGCACAAAAAACAATACTGTATCAGAAGGCAAAGTACAATGCAAATTAAATGATGCGAATTAAACAGAAAAGCGTGCAGTGCGCCTGGAAAGCCAGGAGGACAGCCTACAGTATATGACGAGTGGAGGAGGACAGATGCTGTAGAGAGAGAGAGAGAGAGAGAGAGGGAGAGAGAGAGAATAATGGATAGAAATTCAAGGATAAAGTGCTACTGTACTGTAGTTACAAAGACAAGCATGAGAGGAACCTCCATAACAGCATACCCCCTGTATATGCTTACAATCTATTCTTTTGCTGTACTCTATCAGCAAATATCATAGTCTGTGATAATGCTACAGCAAATCTGGCACTGAGTACAACAGGAACAGTAGGCTACAGACTGCAGGAATGTTATAATAATAAATCAGCAAGGTTCTTCTTCCATTTTAGGTGTTCTTGTTTTTCAAATGGCATGCAATGTCAATGCAGTATTATCTCAGCTGCCAAAATGTACAGTAGACAATAAGTCAGGTAGTAAAACTGAGCCATCTGTAGAGCTCTGTGGTGGAGTGGAGAGTAGGAACGCACTGATCCAGCCCCATACGGTCCTTAATAAGTGGACTGGGCCTGCAGCTATGGTGAAGGTTTTGTGTTTATTAGCAGTGGTGAGCGCCTACTTCACTGTTGGTGCTAAATGTGATATCAGGCCAAAATATAGTTAAAATGTAACTGCACTGCAATCAGAAAAGTAAAAGCTGGATTGGTACATCGCTATTATGTTCCAGTCTTTGGAAAAAGCTACTGTAATTACATTGCATTTAATCTGTTTTCAATAGTTTACAATAGACACTATCTGTTGATATCTGCCTAAGTGGGACACCTGAGCTCTACAGTATATTACATCATTCATTTCCGACAGAATTAGGGTCAACTTCCAGCTTTGGCAGTTATGGAAGTGGGTTTCTTTCAAGTTTGAAAAGATAAGTAGTTTAAAAAATGTTAGAAAATAGCATTCTTAGTCAACTCCATTCATTTCTTAAGGAAAATAAAATTGGTGAAAAGTTCCAATCAGGTTTTAAACCAAGGTACAGTACAGGGTCCACCATTTTCTAAAAATCAGTAATGACATTCTCCTGGCTAGGGATGCTGGGGACTTTGTCTCCTTTATCTATCAGCTGCTTTTGATACTATGGATCATCAAATTCTTTTATCTTGACTTACACAATGTTCTGAATTGAAAAGATACAGTCTTTAAATGGTTTAAGTCATGTTTATCCAGTAGAACCTTTACAATTAATATTGGTATTTAATCTTCTCACTCAGCTTCTTTAATGTGTGGTATCCCTCAAGGATCAGTTCTTGAGCCAGTTTTAATTTTATTATATATGCTTCCACTGGGATCGATTTTAGAAAAATATGGGTTTTCCTGTCACTGTTACACAGATGATACCCAGATTTACGTTCCATTAAAACCTAAAAAGGGGCCTTCCCTCCAGCCTTTGTTTGATTATTTTATAATGACATTAAAGCTTGGCTGACACTAAATTTCCTTTACCTTAACAAGAGTGAAACAAAATGTGTAGAGTTAAAATATCGCTGTTCAATTTCTGCCTCAACTCTAGACCTTGGTCCTTTAGTATTTTATATTTAACCTGCGGTGAAAAATTTTGGGGTATTATTTGATAATGACCTAAGATCTGACAAGCAAATCAAGGCAGTTGTGGAATTAAGCTTTTTCCATTTGCAGTTACTGAGTAAGGTGACATCTTTATCTCATTTAAGAACTTTGAAATTGTAAGCCACACCTTTATAAGTTCTAGGCTCAGTTATTGCAATAAACTCTATTTTGTTGTTAATAAATCTCTTCTCTCACATCTCTAGCTGGTCCGAAATGCTGCTCTCCAAATGTATGTAAGCATGAACATACAGTATGTCACCTGTTTTGGCCTCTATTCATTGGCTCCTGGTTCGATTTAGAATCAAATTTAATTAGCTGATTTTTGTTTATAAGGTTTTAAATGGCTTGGCTCCCCAGTAACTCAGTGATCTTATTCACTGGCACACCTCAGTCAGGCCTCTCAGAGCTTTGTCTAGACAGATGCTGGAGGTTCCAAGGTCTTATCACAAGTGTTGGGGTGACAAGGCTTTTGGCATTGCTGCACCTCAGCTTTGGAATAACTGGCCTTCATATACCAGATCTATTACAGATTTGTTTGTATTTAAATCCCATCTTAAGACTTTTTAAACAATTTCCAAGGCCTTTGATTGCTAAATTAAGATTGATATTTATTGTTGTCTGTTTTTAATCTTGTTTTGTTTATTTTGTTTATGCAAACATTAGATATGTTATAGATTTGATTGTGTTTCATTTCATTTTAAGGTTTTTATTTTCTAGGGCTTTGATATGTTATTTTGATTGACTGATTGATTTGGTTAGTGAAATTGCAGAGTCTTTATGAATTTCAGGCCAAAGTGAAAGCCCTCTACTTGTGTTTCTTCACAGTGCACATGAAGTTAGACTGAGAAACAAATCTCCAGCAGGGACATGGGGAACGTCAATCACAGGGTGTCAGCACTGTGTTGACACAAAGTAGGCCTAACGCCTTGCTCTTTGTGTTTACAGGAATGCTGTTAATGGGAACAAAAAGCTGTATGCCATCTATGATACAAGGTAAGAATTCTTAACACTAAATGATGGTTTCATAAGGATATTAAAAAAATAACACTTATGAGATTAGATAGATAGATAGAAAGATAGATAATGGCTATAAAAAGTATTGATTTTATAAATCAATCATGGTCAATGTCAAAGTGAAAACGGGTTTCTACATAGTAATGTCAATTAAATAAAATAAGTAATGGGAAATAGGTGAGTGCATAAATATTCACTGTCTTTAAAATGACTGACCTAATTGAACAAAGGCCCAGCCAATGGGTGCTAGTAGTCTCACAATTAGTGAAATGGGGATCACAGTGAATGTGTCTCAAGTGAGTGTAGTACAAAGACACCTGTGTCTGGAAGGTCCAGTCACTGGTTAATCAGTATTCCTGGCTACCATTACACCATGAAGACAAAAGGACACTCCAAGCAACTCAGAGAAAAGGTTCCTGAAAAGTATAAGTCAGGGGATGGATATAAAAACATTTCCAAGGCACTGAACGTCCCCTGGAGTTCAGTTAAATCCATCATCAAGAAATGGAAGGAACGTGGCACATGTCTAAATCTGCCTAGATCAGGCCGTCCTCACAAAGTGAGTGACTGTGCAAGAAGAAGACTAGTGAGAGAGGCCACCAAGACACCTATGACTGAAGGAGTTACAAGCTTCAACAGCTGAGATGGGAGAGACTCTGCATACAGCAACTGTTGCCCGGGTTCTTCATCAGTCAAAGTTTTATGGGAGAGTGGAAAAGAGAAAGTCACTGTTGAAGAAAACTCATATTAAATCTTGACTAGAGTTCGCCACAGAACACTGCACATCACCACAAACACACCATCCCCACTGTGAAGCACGGTGGTGGCAGCATCACGCTATGGGGAGGATCCTCGGCCCTGGAAGGCTTGTAAAGGTAGAGGGTAAAATGAATGCAGCAAAATATAGGAAAATCCTGAAGGACAATCTTCTTCAGTCTGCAAGGGAACTACGGCTTGGGAGAAGATTAATTTTCCAGCAAGACAATGACCTGAAGCATACAGCGAAAGTTACACAGAAATGGTTTAAAGACAACAAGGTGAGTGTTCTGGAGTGGCCGAGTCAAAGCCCAGACCTCAATCCAATGGAGAATTTATGGCTGTTCACACCCAATCCCCGCTCAACCTGGCAGAGCTTGAGCAGGTTTTTAAAGAAGAATGGAGTGAAACTGAAGTGTCCAGATGTGCAAGACTGACTGAGACCTATCCACACAGACTCAGTGCTGATTTGCAGCCAAAGGTGCATCTACTAAATACTGACTTGAAGGGGATGAATTTATGCACTTATATGTATATATCACTTATTTCCCATTACATATTTTTATTTAATTGACATTACTCTGAAGAAACCTGTTTTCACTGTGACATTAAGGAGTTTTTTTTTGTCATTTATTTAGTCAAAAAAGCCAAATTATATTGACCATGACTGATTTATAGGGTGAATACTTTTTATAGGTACTGTGTGTATATAAAACTATAGGTTATAGCCTACATAACAGAAGCTCTGCACTGTCCTTTCGGGACGACCGTTTAGATAAGCTCCTCGCTGTAGCCGGTCACGTGGCCTTTCGTTATTAACCGGACAGCCTTGCGCACGCAGTCTCGGTGAAGGACTGTTTTGAACCCGGGCAGACAACATACGCAGCATTATACGCTTGCTCTCCCCTTGGATAGCGGACCTGTGGATTCGTACGGTTGAGATGGATGTTTGACAGTGTGCGCTAATCTGCGAGAAGCCGAGGTCTGGTAGCCGGAGGATGGAGATGTGGAGCAGCCTGATTGAGGCTTTACGGCTCCGCTACCTTGTCACAGGCAGAGATGAGGGGAGCTCGGCGGAAGTGTGAGCACTGTGGCGTCTTCATTTAGTCCTTTTTGAACGCTGGACAGCACCCATCCATCCAGACACCACGCAAGGGATGTGGGGAAGCCAAAGATCGGGGCTATTAGACATCCTTTCATTGCCGCTGGTCGTGGCAGTGATGTGCTGCGCCCAGAGGTGAGTGTCTGGGGCTTAAAACCGCACACACAAGTGTGGGTGTCTGTCGTCAGAGTTGTTATTCTTGTTGTCTTCTCTTTTTCAGCGTTAACGAACCGGGAAACATGTCTTTCGTCAAAGAGACTGTGGATAAACTGCTGAAGGGATATGATATTCGCCTCCGGCCAGACTTTGGAGGTAGGCTATGTCTGTGTCCCTCATTTAGTGGGTTTCACCCAGAAGGGTCCCCGCATGTGTCTTTGCCTTACCGGTTTGTTATACGGAGTTAGTATAGTCAGTTAACTTCATTGTGTGTGTTTTAAGGTCCGCCTGTTGCTGTTGGCATGAGCATAGACGTGGCCAGTATAGACATGGTGTCAGAAGTCAATATGGTAAGTTCCTCATTCATTTTTGAGCAGTTTCTAATTTTGATAAACTTCCGTCACACATGAATTAAAAAGTCCTAAACTGAGGGATTGTTCATTTAACTGTAGGGTAACTATTTCTTATTGTATAGGTTTATACAGTATTAATTAATTTTCTCAATCTGGCATGTGGCAACCCTGTTGATGTTGATGGATTATGAAGAATTACATGAAGTTTTAACTGCTATTAAAGCCAATAGTTGTAAGCACTTTGTAAAGCGTAATTTAATTCTAGAATTAAAATTACAACACAGGATAATTGATATAACATCCTGAATTGCTCCAGCCTCCTATGTAAGAGGAGAGCAGTTATAGAGGCTCTTCTGTATTGTCTAGTGTTTTGGTCATCTGTGACTATGGGATTATGGCTGGTTGTATTGGTTTACATCCTGGTTCACTGGCTGAATGACTGATGGTCGTATTAGAAGACAAGGTCAGTAAGTCCCATTGCCATGTCTTCTCTTTTCAGATAAAAAAGCATACCTTCAGAAGTGTGCATGCGTGTGTGTGTGTGGTGGGTGGGGATGTACATCACGCGCTGGCTCTAGTTTAATGTCTTTAGTCCACCTGTCATTGGTCTGAACTGCTAACAGAGCTTGATGTCTGATCACATGGTACCAAGAGGAAATAGCCCCTGACATGCTGTCCTGACAAGTCTGTGTGAAGAAATGTACCCGTGGTGCATTTTAATGCATCTTTACACGGCAGCAGAGCCTGTGAGAACCACAGGGAAGCAAAACACTTGCTTCAAGTGACAACTGAGATTCAAGTTTTGTGCATGATTTAGATCTCAAACATAGTCACTATGCATGTTTTTATAAGTGTGACTGTATTATAAAATACAGATCGGGTTTATTTATTGCTACAGATCATTGGATAATTTCTTGCGTGCTGGCAGAGTTGGATATAAATAGTCCTTTTCTGTAAAATTAACAGTTTGAATTTTGATTTCCTAAAAGAAAAAGGAGTTTTCATACTATGAGCTCTGCTTCTCCAGGGGTTGTGCATGGGACAGTTGAAGGAGGGGTGCACAGGGAAAAGACAGGAGGTGCGAGCTGAAATATGTGCCAAAATTCATACTCCTAGTTCAATCTGGACACAAAGACATGATACACTTGATCAGATTCAGTGTGACAGACCCCTGAGGATATCACAATATCTGTTTTCCATTATGAGTAAATGTCCATAAATCCACCTAGAAAAGATGCTTCTTTTAACTTCTAGAACTTACCTGAGAGTCATTATATTTTTACATTTTTTCAGTAATCCAGTGACAGATGGCCAAACATCCTCAGGTACAATACAAACAGGAGCTGCTAATAGTTAATTCGGCATACCTTTAATGCTTCAAGTTAGCCAAAATGTAAACAAATATAAACCAAAAATGTTGTCCCATATCTGTCAGCAGGAGGGACTATTTAAACCCCAGTTATTTTGGATAAGTACAAAATTTAACTAAGCCAAACTCAGGCTTTCATAGCGAGTAAATAGACATTTTTTGTATTTCATTGGCTTTTAAATTCTATGACCAGTTAATGTTAAACATTTAATGGACCAAATATATTTTCCATATGAGTCCACACCCGCTTTTAGCCTGAGAGTTGCTGTCTGCTCTGCCACAGGAAACTATTTGTCCTCTTCGGTGGCTATCATTTCAGATTGCTTGTGTTAATGGTCCTAAGCATGCAGATTGGATAGAGGAAGTACATTTCTCCCTCTGGCTGGAGCAGTTGGACACATCTAGGAAATAAACCTTCCCAGTGACATGTGTTAAAAATAAATAAATCATGGCACAAATGATAAGACACCCGGAGCTGGTTGACTCTTGTCCAAGAGACATTATACAAAATTTCTTGTTTTATTTGTCAGATATCCAAAAATATCCACACCATGCATCAAGAACACTGGTCACTGGTCAGGCCACTTGAAAATACTGATGCCCTCATCAATACCACTTCTATTTATTCATCATCTTTTTGTTTATTATTATTATTATTATTATTATTATATTAATTCCTGGAGCTCTAGATCATTTTTATCAGGCTATTCTGATAAACTCCTGTGGGAGTTTATCTGTTGTCATGAACAGCATTATTTTGTTACTTCCTCTTTTGTCTAAACTGCATTGCAGTTCTCCCTCAAGAGGGCGTTGACATTTGTAGCTTCTTCTCACATTTTGCTCACCAGAGCATCTCAAGGCTGCAGATGAATCTCTGTGTTTATGGAAAGTCCTCCTTACATACTTGGATTGCATTGTATTAAAAATACATGCAATGCCTCACAGTTCACTAGAACACTTTGAAGATTGAAATATTTTGTGATCTATATAGATGCTATTTTAGGAATGTACACTAAAATATCTAGATGTTTTCCAGTTGTTGTGGGCCTGTAAATGATCTGGAATTACTCTCTAACCCTATCAGCAAAGAGGAGCTTGCACACAAACCAAACAGGTTTATTTTACTGTCAGTCAACATATTAACAGCCCTTGTTCTCTTGAGCTAAATGAGCCATCATGCTTGGTTATAACCTTTGCTTCAGAGTTGATATGACAGGCAAAATGTTTGTTGTTGCGCTTAATTCATTTTTGCCATTTTAGTCATTGTTTATGGGGCAGTTGTGAAGTCGTACTAGATTCACCAAAGTATTCACTGATCTCACTAATTGTTCTGTTATGAAGTTTCTTCTTTCACACCTTCAGAATTGTAATCAAAATGCATTTGTAGTGATATTTTTTTTAAATTCCCCATATAGCTGTATTTAATCCATATTTACTGACATATCTTTTTAATTACCTGATAGTCCTGGTTATCTGACAAAGAAAGTGCAATACATCCATATTCGAAGCTAATAAGACTGGCACTATCAGAAGTACTGAACGGGTTACTGAAGTTGCTTAAAAATGACAGATTTTATACTGTTACACTGTGGAAACACATTTGTTACAAATCACCAGTAACTTTTTAGTCTGAAAAATGGATTTTGGTAAGAAAACACGAGCAGGGCAATAATTAGTAACTCTCTAACAGCAAGAGACTATCTTGAAAAATTAAATCTGACGAGAAACTTCAGTCTATTCTACCAGGTACCTAGTATGTGGTGGAGCCTGCAGGAGCAGGATGTCTGTCTTTTCTTTCAGTGATTTGAACTCCTGCAGATAACCTTATTCCATCTGATTTACAGCAGCAACTTCAGCTGTTTATTCAGAAACAGTTTATTTCTTCTTCTTACACTTTAAAAATCTTGATTCTTAGGTCTAACCTTCTTTCCAAAGCCCTTCGAGATGTTATCTGAACAATTCAATAAATGTAAGTATAGCTTCTCAAAGCCAGCCTATACCATGTGAGCTCAGTTTTCGCCATGTGCTTCAAGTCTAATGAGAATCAACGGGGTCCAGTAGATACATTTCCAACCAGTAACTGGGGCATGGAGAGTGTTTAACTCATGAAATGACACTCAAAAGTCTTGTAAACTAAAACTTTAGCTAAATGAAGTGTGATTCTGCAACTGCACGACATGTTTTTCCGCTGAATGTATTCGGAAAACCTCATGTGGTGAGTACTTTGTAGTAGAAATTTGACATTGCAGCTGCCGTGTCACTCATTCTGCGAATCTGAAGCAAGCACTGTGATATCTCAGTGAGTGGCACATCCAGCATCCGGTCAGATCATGGAAGGCTTCATACTGGTTTCTGAGTGAAGATAGGAACTGTCAGTTATCTCTTGTTGAAGAGGCATCTGTTTTGTGTGAACCAGGCTGTATTGAGAGCAGCTGCAATTCTGGACAGATGAGAACATTTTAACGTGTGTGTGTGGGATAATCTGTGTTCTTTGCAGTAACTTTTAATCTGTCAACGGGTTCAGACACTACATTTAGTAAATCAGTGTCGGTTGTCGGTGCTGAGCTTAGAATCGTGCTGTAAGGAGAGTGTAAGAAGAGTGGGGAACAGACAGATTGGATCTGCAATGCAGTCAGTGCATGTCTCTTTTCATATGCTTCAACAAGCTCTTCTGTTAGTAGTGTGTCTTTCTCTCTTCAGATGGAGTGCAGAGGAAAAAGAAAGCCATGTCTTTCTGAATTGTTTGCAGTTCACTCACACTTTTCATGCCCTACAGTATGCTGATATATTGAGTGATGATCACTGTTTTTAGGTAGTAACCATTTCACTGGAGCCTCTCTTGTTTTGAAAAGTGACATTACAGATGTGGACAGCGTGTCCTCATCAAGACGTTCATAACAATGTCAGTGAAATCTAACTTAATATTAATTCATCAAGGTAAAGGGAGGAAATGTGTTAGAAACTAGCAGCAAAAGCAGTCTTACAAAAATTGTATGACAAACAAATCCTAATTTAAAGATAAGTCTTGTGTATGCTTTGCGGCCAGGCCAAAATGATGTTCAAGTGCCGCTAAAGGATGACCTGTGGTTTTGCTGCAGTGTCTGAACGACTGATATAGGCAGATTCTGAAGTGCTGAGAAGAAGAGAAGAAAGGACAATAGTTGGCTGAACATCAAATTGATCTCTCTGGCTCTTTAGCTGGATTCTTTTGATGTGATACACAGTTCTGTTTGATTACATACATACATATGTTTTTTTCCATGAGGAATTGATGACATAACTGAAAGTGCAGACTCCATTTCCAGAAAATGTGAGATTTTCCAAAATGCAAAAACAGCTAAAATATGTGATTTGTTAATTCTCTCGAACCTTTATTTAACTGACAAGGGTCCAAAGAAAAGGTATTCAGTGTTTTCACTGACCAGCTTACCTTAATTTTCTAAATATACACAAATTTAGAAAGTGATGCCTGCAGTACTCAAAGTTGGGACAGAGGCCTGTTTACCACTGTGTTCCATCACCTTTCCTTTTAATTACACTTAATGGTTTGGAAACTGAGGTTACTAGTTGTTGCAGTTTTGCAGGTGGAATATTGGCCCATTCTTGCTGGATACAAAACCTCAGCTGC